CTGGCAGTGCAGCTCAGCACTCAAGTGCTTGGTGTTGGCATGTGTAAAACCTTGGTCTAAATTCAAGAACCTGAAGAAAACTCAACAAAACCTCTCAACTACAACATACAGATTAGGAGAAAATATTTGCTGGCTACTCATCTGACAGTGGAACTGTCACACATAAGAACTAAAAAGGTCACCCTGAAAGAAGATGAATGATTACTTGGGACTGCAAGAAGGCAGGGAGATGGTGAGAGGAGAATGCAAAGGGAGTTCAGTAATTGATGCATTTTTACCTAAAATGGCCATCTTACAATGCAGAAAAATCAACTAACCGATTTTTTTTTCTCCCTGAAAGGCATAACACCACATTGCAGTGGACAGAATTCAATCCTGGGTTGTCATTTCTGCCACCCTACTGTGTGACAATGAAAAAGTCATTTGCCCTCTCTGGGTGTCAATTTTCCTATCAGGACATTTATTCTCTTCCCCAGATGTCCTCTGCATAACTCTTACTAATGCTACTCTCCGTGTAAAGATAATGGAACTGGGATGAGTCCTCTGACCCCTTGAACTGGGTCAGCTGTCTTGTGTTCTCACTAGCTGCCAGTATTAAGGACATCACACAATGGGTGTCAGCTTCCCAAGGGAAAAATGTGCCTGTCTTGGGTCCCTGCACTTTTCACTAGGTGCTTGGATCCTGAACATGAAGCCTGACTGCCGTCAAGCCAGGTCCAAGGTGAAATGGGAAAAAATAGGGAATTTTTCTCTATGCCAAATATATCTGATCTTTAAAATTCTGAGATCACCTTTCCCATTTCTACATTGAAATGATAGTAAATGTTCTTCCTTAAAATATCTGTAATTGGCCAAAGAAACCTAGATCTGACATGTTTAAGATTTGACCCCAAGATGACTGAATCACTAACATGCTTTCTGATTCCAAATGCCTGAGAGTAGAAAGGCTGTCAGCAGATTGGAGCTTTTTCTTTCTTTGAACTCTTCTTTCTATTGGGTTTGTTAGCAGTACAGTCTCCTTAACCAGGCTGGCATGTAACCATGAAACTCAAGTTGGCCTGGTAACTGCTGAAGTTGACTGCTGAATCTTAAAGGCATCTTGGACTCACAAAGTGTGTGTGGCTTTCTGGTTCCAGGTGGCCCAGGCCAAAGCAAAGATGGACCGCCCACACTCACTACCCTAGTGCTTAGAGTACAGTAGTGATCAAAACGAACATCCCTGACTCCTGCCCAGTTGGCATTTTGGTGGGAAAGCCAAGATCATCCTCCAGATACAGGGCAGACATCACAGGCCTGGCTTCTCATCTCTGCTCCAAGTTAACTAATTTTGGTCTTGTCATCTTGGAGTCTTTCCCAGCCCTTCCTGCCTTAGTAGAGTCTTAGGAACCTGAAACTGCAGTTTCAAAAGAAAAGAAAGCCCACAGGAACTTCTGTGGTGCTTCACAACCAAAGACACATCTAGCACTGAGGGCAAAAACAAAACAAAAAAAAGCCTCTCTTCTTAGGAAGGACCCAAAGGCAACCAGAGCCATCACCCAGCATTTCAGAAAGGCTCATTTCCAACCCAGGATTGAATGAATCCTGGAATCCACTGGCAACATCCCTTATTAGTCAGAAAAACAAGCCACCTCAGGTATTCCAGGTGAGGAAGATATAGCGCAGAGATTAGGAGCTGACTTAAAACACTGGAAGGACTAGAACAACAGCTCCCACAGAACTAGCACACCAAACAGCTCACGCAGGTCCCAGCTGAAAGGCCCCAAATTCTTAAGCGAAGCGCTCACCTGGAAGCCCCAGGCTGTGCTGTGAAAGCACCCATCTGCCCACACTTCTGGCTGCAGCTCTCTCCAAAGAAGATGGTTTCCCCTCTTTTGCTTTCTAGGTCTCATGGGAGTGTCTTCCATGAGCAGATCACAGGAGACAGGGAATCTGAGGAATGCACTGTGCTAGTCAATGTTCTCTACATGGGACAGAATACCCAAGAGACTCATCTTGTAAGAAGGAAAGATTTGGGGCTGGAAATATGACTCAGCACTTGCTCTTCTTAGAGTCCTGAGTTTGAGGCCCAGCACCCTCATCAAGGAGGCTCACAATTACCTATAACTCCAGTTCCAGAGGGTTCTGATGCCTCTGGCCTCCTCCAGCACCTGCATTCACCTGCTCAAACACACATACATATACGTAATTAAAAATAAAATAAATTGGGGACCAGAGAGATGGCTCAGTGGTTAAGAGCACTGGCTGCTCTTGTAGAGGACCCAGCTTAGGTTCCCAGCAACTACATGGGGGTGGCTAACTACCCTCTATAACTCCAGTTCCAGGGAATCTGACACCCTGTTTGACCTCTGTCAACATTGCATACATGGATCCACTTGCAGACAAAACACTAATACATATAAATTAAAAATGAATAAATAAAATATTTAAATAAACATTTTTTTTTAAAAAAGGAAAGATTTTTGGCTCACAGTTTCATCCATGGGCAGGTGTCATCGTTGCTTTGGGGCCTGTGGGAAGCAGCATATCTCAGTGGGCACATGTGGTCCGACACCACAAGGAAGGCCTGCTTACCTTATGGCAGGCAGTCAGGTGTTCAGAAAGCAAAGTGTGAGAGAGAAGTCAAGGTCCTGAGATACCCTTTCAGGACATGTCCCGCCCACCTCATGTCCTTCCAACAAGGCCCCACCTTTTAAAGGTACCATCTCCCAAAAGGGCCATAGGCTGGTAGCTAAGTTTCTAGTACCTCTTGAGAGACAACCTAAGAGGGAAGCAAAAATGGGTATTTTCTTGTGTTTCTTCAATGAAGGAATGCTCTTAGAGGAGTGGGTGGTTTTGAGATCAGGCTGACAGCAGATGATTTAGCTTAAGTACCTCCTTGAATTCTTTAAGAATTGCCCCTGGAGGGCCCTGGGTTTCTTTCCTGGGAATTCCACGAGGCTGCTTTTGCAGTCTTCCTGTGTTCTCAAAAGCCAGCCAGTAAGCTAAATGGGCAGGCTGACGCATCTCATTTCAGCCATGTAGCTTTGCTTGGGCCTTGCAATTATGATGATGAGCTCTGATGGGTAGAGACTACCAGGGCATTGCAGGTGTTAGATGACTCAATTAACTGAGGCCAGGCTGGTGCTTTTAGTATTTATTATTTGTGTGGATGTTTATGGGTGCGCACATGCCACAATGTGTGTGCAGGTCAAAGGAAAACCTGGGGAAGTCATTTCTCTCTTTCCACTGTCTAAGTCCTGAAGATCAAACTTAACTCACATAGTCAGGCCTTTACCTGCTGAACCATCTTGCCGGCCCTAGGCTGATTCTTTTGGAAGGCAAAGACTCTCAAGCAGTTTTGCCTGCGTGGGTGCCTCCCGGCAGTATTTGCCAGTCTGTCCTCCGCTGTCCCAGCCCAGCTGTCCATTTTCTGAGCAGACAGGGTGTCTTTGCAGCTGAGGGAATTCAAATGCAGGCCGAAGGGTGGGTCTCCCTCATGGACTTTTCCTTTTGGACCTGTGCATTTCTTCTCTGAAGGCAGAAAATGAACATCAGAATGTTCTAGCTGATTCCAGAGTGGAGGAGGGAGAGAGAGCAGGCAGTGTCAGAAGTGGGCAGTGGTTAAGTAGAGATAAAGTAGCAATGTGAGAGTCTGTTTATTTAGAAACTGTGACAACTGGTCCCTCCTTGGAGCTGTGTGAGGATTAAACAGGGTATCTCTAGTACCCAGCTTTTGGCTTGCTGTACACATTGCCTGATACATATAAACTGTGTGTCTGGGTGGTGCTGGTAATCAAACTGAGGGCCTGATGCATGCTAAACAAGTCCTCTTGCTGAGCTACCTCCCTAGTATAAAATTTTGGTTTTTGTCTTTTTGAGACAGGGTTTCCCTGTAGCCCCAGGAGGCCTAGAACACGCTATGTAGGCCAGGTTGGCCTTGATCTAACAGATCCACTTGCCTCTGCCTCCTGGGTGCTGGGATTAAAGGGATGCATCACCATGTCTGGCTATGTAAAATTTATATTATTTTCTAGGTCTTCTTAAGTTGCATGGGTCTGTCTTTGCAAAAGATGGTTTATTTGTCTGAGGGATTAAGAAATGGAGAGTCCTTGTCACATACACAAAAGCATCTGTGACTACCTTGCACTGATCTGCATGGTGCTTTACTGATGTGAAGGGGATGAAGGAAAACAAGACACAGGCAAGGTTTCCAAAGCTCTGGTGAGATGTAGCCTGGGGGAGAAGCTGGGCTGTTGAATTCTGTGGGAAATTAAGAGCTTGAATTTATGACACCTGGACTCTGGCTTGGAAAGGAAGCGGAAAGACCTCAAAGACCTGGCGCTCATTTCTTCAGTGTTTTCAAATAGAGAGTCTGGGCATCAGAGTTTTTCTGGTGTTTTGTTGTTTTAATTGAGATCAAATACAATAAAGTCCATAAGTTTAAACTGCACAGCTCAATAAATTTTAATGAATATCTTTATCAACTTATCACTCAGATTAAAATAAAGGACATTCCTAGGATATGAGTTTTTTGAATTTTTTTTGTGTGTGTTTTTGAGACAGCCTCCCTGTAGCCCCAGCTGACCTAGAACTCACTATGTAGACTAGGCTAGCCTCGAACTCAGAGATCCCCCGGCCTCTGCCTTCTAGGTGCTGGGATTAAAGGTGTTACCACCGTGCCTGGCCTTTGAATCCCTTCTTAATCACCCCTCCCACTCACCCACCCACCCAGAGGTAACCATGAATCTGACTTCTATCACTGCCAGTCTTGTCTGGATTATTTCTCTCTCTCTCTCCCTCTCTCTCTCTCTCTCTCTCTCTCTCTCTCTCTCTCTCTCCCCTCTCTCGTCTTCAACTTTGTTTAGATACAGCTTAAGCCCCTTCTTTTCCAAGCTCTATGCCTGTGAAATTGATCTGCTGTCACATGGACCCACAGTTCATTTCCTATGAATATAGCAGTCAGTCAGTGCTTCCTCTGCCTGCACAGTTTGGGCCTGTTATGAATGTGCTTTACATGACCGCTAGTTTTTGAACATATCACAAAGCAGCTTCTCCACTGGTGTGTTCCCTATGGTCTTGCGGAAGAAGAGGAGCTCGATGCGTTCAGATGTGATAAACCTCAAAGATGGGAGCAAGAGGAGCAATTTCCCAAACCTGAGAGCCGGAGAGAGGACACTGGTCAGGCTTCATGTCAGCTTCTGAGCATTAGTTGTGGGACAGTGCCCCCTGGCCAAGGCAGGGGAAGAGGAGGAGGGGAGAGGTAAGAGGAGCTCAGGGCCAGCCAGGGGATTTCAGGGCAAAACCCTGCTCTAGAATGGACTCCTTCCTTCCCACCTTCCCTTTGTGTTAAGGGATGGGATGAAAACAGGGACTCAAGGACTCAGTATTATTCATTATGTGTCAAGATTACAAAGTGAGAAGTTATTAAAGTTTTTGTATTTGCATGTGTGTAATGCATGCTCACATGTGTGTGGGGGGTGTGCATGTGTGCGAATGCTTGTGGAAGCTGGACTTTGACTTCAGGTGTCTTCAGCCCCCCACTCTCTACTTTATGGACTGAGGCAAGGCCTCTTGCTGAACCCGAGGCTGGCCAATTCCAGCTAGTCTAGCTGGCCAGCTTGCCCAAGGGAACCCCTTTGTCTGCCTCCTGGGTGCTGGCATTACAGGCAGCCACCATGTCTGCCCAGGTTTTACATGGATTCCAGGGACCTGAGCTCCAGTCCTCACACTTTACCTACGGAGCCATCTCCCCAGCCTGTAAGAAACTATTATCAATCCTGGTTGTAAACATATTGTGATCTATGAACTTTATAATTAAAATTATATTCATTTTACACATATGTTTATAAGAATATGAACTCTTGTCTGTGAAACACTATGGCTGATAGTAACTATTACTGGAAATGTTCTGAAATCAAAGATTTTGGTTGTCTGAGATACCTAGGGCAAAAATTCACTTTAGTTTCAAATAACCATTTGGTAAAGAGGGGATTCCCAGGGCACGCACGCACACACACACACACACACACACACACAAAGATTCAGAATCAGATGTCCCTGGCCTATAGCTGGATCAGTGCCCATCACCAGGGAGGCTGAGGCTGAGTTCCCTGGGGCAGCTGCTGGCTCCACTCCACCTGGAGAGCTATGCCCACCACTAACTAATCCGCAGACTGGGCTTTGTCCACCTCAAGCCTTTTTCTCTCATGTGCAGTGTGTGAGCAGTCAGGCACCCCTCTGTCTGCCTTCCCTTCTCCTGCCTTTCTGATCTAGGGAGTAGGAGGAAGAAGGAACTGTGAAGTCTACTGGAGAATTATTTCAAACTAGATAGGGACCCACCTGGTAGAGAATGGTAGGTAACAGGTCATAACTAGACTTTTAAAAAATAAAATTAATAAAATAGGGCTGAAGATGTAGCTCAGTTAGTAAAGTATTGTTTAGCATGCATGAGACCCTGGGTATCATCCCTAGCACCATATAAACTGTGTAGCACACACCTGTAGTTGTCCCAGAACTGGAAGTTGAGTCAGGAGGATCAGGAGTTTAAGGTCATCCGTAGCTACAAAGTTTGTTCAAGGCCAGCCTGGGCTACATAGTGAGTTCCAGGTCAGCCTGGGGCTACAGAGAAACCCTGTCTCAAAAAGACCAAATCACGTAAAGTTAGTGTAGGTATTAGTGGAACTTTGTTTCAATGTCTGTGTAAGTTGGGCTATAACAGAAACTGCATTTATTCTTGGGTGTTATAGTTTTAGAAAATTAAAATATGCTGACCTAGAGAATTAAAAAACACCATGGTAACACTTAGTTCTGCTTACAGTAAGTAATGAACTACTGCAGAAGCAACACAGGGTGTGTGTGTGTGCGTGTGTGTGTAGTATATACATGTGAGTGCATGTGTGTATTGGTGTGTATATCCATGGAGGCCAGAGGAAGATATTGGGTGTCCTGCTCTATCACTTCCCACCTTACTCCCTTGAAACGGGGTCTCTCACTGAACCTGAACCTTTCCATTTCTGTTAGACTGGCAAGTCAACGATCTCCTGGGATCCACCTGTCTCTTTTGCCCAACACTAGGGTCACAGGCACACAATAGCCAAGGCCAGAATTTTAATGGGGGGATGCTGGGGATTTGAGCTCAGATCCTTATGTTTACACAGCAAATACCCACTGAACCATCTCCCTAGCCCCTCCTCCTTACTTTATGAAGATACACTCTCTCACTGAACCTGGAACTCATCAGTTCAGCTAGGCTGTCTGGCCAGTAAGCTTCAGGGATATGCCTGTCTCCATCCCATCCAGTGCTGGGGTGCAGATGCACCCCACCACGCATGGTCATTCAAACTCAGGTCCTCACATGTGCTTGGCAGACACTGACTGAATCATCTCCTTTGTCCCTACATAGGAAGTCTTCTTTAGTATTCTTGAAAGATGGCACATGGTCAACAGGCCCTAGAGTCTCTGAGAGCTGGTCTCAAAGGAAACTTGACCTAGAAGGTCACTAGTGTCTAGGTGTCTGTGATGACCCTCCTTATGTCAGGCCTTAGTCCTAGTAGTTCATGGCTCCTCTGTTCACCAGCAGAAGCTCTGGTGCTGGACGAAGATGGGACCCTCTACCTGCAACTAGCACCGCCAATTCAGTACAGACTTGCCGCATCCATACAGTTGCAGAGCTGGCTTTTCCACAGATCTCCATGGGATGCCTTCCACACCTCCCCCACAGCTTGGCATATTCCCTCCAAACTCCTCTCAACTTGGAAGGCAGATGCAGGTGGATCTCTGTGAAAGCAAGGCCAGTCTGGTCTCCATAGTGAGTTCCAGGCCAGCTGGGGCTTTAGGGAGACCCTGTCTCAAAAAGACCAAAACAAAACAACCCTTGGCTTCCAAACAGCATCTCTTGGCTCATCCCTTGCTTCTACCCAAGTGCCACACTTGTCCCTTTCTAGAGTCTTGGGTTGCTGTCCACGTCTCACTCCCTATGGCCCCATGGAATCTCCTGGGAAGTATGGTAGCTGATCTGCCCTCCCCAGGAGTACCCTTTGTATTCACTGCAACAGCAGTTTGGATGAAGTCTAATCCTGTGTGAGAGCTTCCTCCCACAGACCTTCAGGGGCTCCCCTCTGCCTTGTCAGATGTGGCCTTCGGTGGACATTCAAAGCCCCAGTCTGATAGATCCCAGGGTAATTCTCTGGCTTAATCTCCTGCTTTCCTGACAGCAAGTGGCTTTCCACACTGGACTCCTGTGTAGACTGTGTCATGCTGAAGTCTCTCCACCTTGATAAGTAAGATTTTCTCTTTTGTTAGACCCTACCCTTCCTCCCAAATTAGCCCTGCTCTGGAGACACAAGGTCCCTGTCAAAGGCTAGGCTTAATTACAATAGGGCACATTTGTAATCCCAGAATCTGGGAAGCAGAGACAGAAGAAACCTGAGTTTGAGGCCAGGCTGAGACATAATAATAATAATAATAATAATAATAATAATAATAATAATACCTCTCTCAGTGCTGCCTGGCATCTGCTAACCCTTCAGAATAGATCACTCTCCATATCTGACTAGGGCAGTTCTTATCTTTCTTGTGGTCACTGTGCTGGGCATCCCTGCAAGGCAGAAACTTTGTCTTTGATCCACTCCTAAGGCCTGATCCACAAGAGATGTTGGACAGATGCTGGATGACTGACCCCCCCTCATCCTGTCTTAACAGAAGAGCCTGGAGATGGTGTGGGAGAGGTGGGCAGGAGGAAGGAGGTGGGGTAAATGAGCAGGCCATCTTGTCACCTCACAGGCTGGCTGGGGTGGTGAGCCTTGCTGTGCTGGCTGAGCATCACTTGTGACTGGTCCTGCAAGGCCTCTACATGCTCAGGATCCTTCAGGCCACGTGTCTCTGGGGACAAGCAGTACCAGTGAGCTCTTTTCCAGGAGCCTGCCTTGTTCCAGACAGCCCTCAGGAATAGAGTCAGGCCACATCTCTTTTCTCTGCCCCGCTTCCTCAAAAGAAGACTGACTGTACACATCTATATCCATGTGGGTTTGTGGAGAGGCAGGCAGAAGGAAGTCACCAGAAACCTCATTATTTAGTCCCAACCAGTCTCTGGAAGGCCTGGGCGAGGACTCAGTACCTGGCTTGAAGAGGACCAGGGCCTTCATGCAGGCGAACTCTGTGGGGTCCACTGCCAGCGCTCGGAAACGGGAGATGGTTTCCTGCAGGAAGCGCATCTCTGCACTGGCCAGGGTGAGTCGGCCCTGAGAGCTGCCAGAGGCCTCTGTTGGGGCCAGTAGAGGGCAACTGTCCAGAGGTAGAGACCACTGTATGGCTCCCAGAAGGAAGAGCTCGCTCCAAGCCTCTTCCAGCAAGATCACCTGTGCTCAGAGAGGGCGCACGTGTCACAGCAGATCCAGCTCCTTAGCCTAGAGTTGCTGCCACCTTCTTCAGGAGTGGAAGGGCTACTCTGAGGTGCCTAGAACCTTCTTCTGACCTCTACCTACACAGCCTCTGGCTCAGCTATGCTAGGCTCTCAGATACGTCATGGATTCCATCCAGAGGTGCAGCAGGCCATTCAGAATGAGCAGAGCGCCTACAGAACTTGATCAGCCTCAAGATGTCCTAGGAGGGTCAGGCTGAGTTCAAGAGACTGGCTGTCTCTTCTGAGCTGCTCCCTTGAAACATACACCCTGGCTGAGGGTCAGCTTCTCTCTGGCACTCTCTTTCTGGATCATCCTGAGATCTCTGCCTACCTATCAGAAGCCCAGAACATCTTTCCAGATGTGGAAAGGTTGGGCTGACACTCAGGTCTGCAGTCATGAGCACCTGTGCTCCAAAGGAGGGACCCAAAGTCAGTTACAATGCTGTTCATGGTATGCAGATTGCTTTGTTCCACACTGAAAAGCTATAGGCCAGAGGGTCTGTGCAGGAGGAAAGTTGACCCAGGGAGTCAAAAGCTCAGTTCATGTCCGAGACTCTAGGCCAGCATCCTTGCCCCAGAGATATGTGTGCCTCCTCTGCCACTGGCCTGATCATCCCCAACTCAGAGATGAGCACCCCACTGTCACCATCTGAGCCACGTGTACCTCCATCCCTCCAGCCCAGGGGTATACGCATTCTCAAGCTGACTGACTTGCGGCTTCTGACTATGCCTGGCTCAGATGCAGCAGGCAGGCTATGTGGTGTACCTGGTCCCGGAAGGGCAGGTTGGAGAACATGGGCAAGTTTTTGGCCCATTTGACAGCCATGAAGAGCAACCGAGTCGATGTCTCATGGATGCTGTCCAGGCTGCAGGGTGGCATGGGGAACTCGGAGTCATTGCCAGTGACATCAATATTCTCTTCAGCTGTTGAAGGAGAAGGTTGTGACCCTGGTGCCTGCTCAATGTGAGGTGGGTGTGAAGAGCCATGCCCTCTGCTCTCCCGCTTACCATCCTCTGGCTCCAGCTTAGCAAAGGTTTCGGCTGTGATGAGGCTGGCCATAAAGTAGTGGCCCAGGGCTCTGGCTGTAGATGCTGGTGTGGGGCCCCAGGGGCTGGGCCCTGCCAGGGCTGGGGAGGCCACCAGGGGCTCAGGTCGGGTTTCACTGCCTGATTCCATGCTGTCCAGACGGACCTGGGCTGCGCTTCGGGGTTGGCGCTCATTCTGCACAGCTGGAGAGGCAGGGAGGCTCAGGACCCCCACCCCCAGCCCCCAGTGACACCTCCTGTCTCTTCTTCCTTTCTCACCTCACTGCCCATCACTCACCATCTTGGTTCATGCCTGCTTGTAAGCACTTCTTCAGCCGACAGGCCTGGCACTGGTTGCGATGGGCTTTGTCCACTAGGCACGTCCCTGCCCCTACCGGGCACCTGCAGGAGACAGGGAGCTCCTGGGGGTCAGGGTTATTCCAAGGCCCTAGGACTTCCACCTTCCCAGAGCAACCTCCACCCCTGTCACACACACTGGGGGCGAGTCAGGAAGGCTGGGCGCACCTGTAGATGAGCCTCCGCCTCACACTCCTCTTGAAAAAACCGCTGCAGCCATTGCAGGCATAGACGCCATAGTGCTTCCCACTGCTGCTGTCCCCACACACACGGCACTGGAGTGAGGGGCCCATGCCTGAGGGGCAGGGCTGGATTAGGGCGGCTGCACCCGCCCCCCGATCCCTTTCCCTGTCCACAGGTTTCCATCTTCCTCTTGACATACCCACGCCACTCCAATCTGGAAAAGCAGCCCCAGCTTAGACACCCCAGATCCCTTATTTCCACCCCTTTCCATCCATAGCCAATTTCCAGTAAGACACTCACACTGCCTCTACTTCCCAAGCCCCATTCCTTCCCTGTGGGAGGTGTCAGGGTCCCATCAGAACAGTCTCCATATCACCTCCAGGGATCTCTTTGCTGCCTTAAGAGCACATTTCCTTTCCCAGCAGCGCCAATGTTCAGTCCTACTCTCCTGACCCTCAAGTCTTGAGTTTTTAGGATTCTAGGACTGCCAACGCCTGGCCCCCTCACGCTAGCCTGCAGCCTTAAGGCTGAGACTAAGTTGCGCAAGTGTCTCTCATGGCTCCCTGAAAAACCCATGGCCCATGCTCTCTCCCCCTAGGGGCCCAGAACTCACCCCCAAGAAAACCATACCTGTTGGATCCTCCCCCAGGCTCCACCTGCCAGGAGACTCCTTCCTGGAGGTGGTCACAGCTACAGACAATGCGGTGGAGCTCATCAGTGATGGCAGGTCCCAGGACAGCCTCTGTCCCCTGCCTGAGGGTAGACTGCTGGTCACTGACTGGATCTCTACCTCTGTCTGTCTGTGCTTATCTCTTCTCTGTTCCCCTGCCTCCTGGTCCCTTCTCAGTCAAGTGTTTTTTTGTTTTTTTTTTTTTTACCTTCTGAGGCTTCTAACAGCTTTGGCTTCAGATTTCTCCCAGCACAGACTCTGAGCCTAGTGCATGATCTGCTTAATCTTTACTGTCTCCACAGGGGATCAACTGGCTGCACCTGCAGCATTACCAAGGTGTCCCCCAGGGGCTAGTCAGCACTTCTGTCTTCACACCAGTGCCCAGGCTTCCTAACATCCCTAGGTCCTGTCCATCCTTTGCTGTCCCTACACACACTGCAGGGGACCAAGCTCCCCCTCCCCCTGAGGTGCAGGGCCTGACTCAGACTTTATGCTCTTTCAATTACAAATCTTTTTTACAAAATTAAAAGAAAATTTTATTTTCTGTGTATGAGTGTATTGCCTGCATGTACGTGTACCTGTGTTGTGCAGTGCCTGGGGATGTCAGAAGAGGGTGTTGGATCCCCTGGAGCTGGAGTTATGATGGATGGTTTTTAGTCACCATGTGGGTGCTAGGAATCAAACTTGTGTTCCCTGCAAGAGCAACAAGTGCTCTTAACCTCCGAGCCATTGCTCCAGGCCCCCAAACGACTTTCTTTTTGGTCTTTTTGAGACAGGGTATTCCTGTAGCCACAGTTGGCCTGGAACTTGCTATGTAGGCCTCAGTCTCACAGATATCCACCTGCCTCTGCCTCCCAAGTGCTGGGCTTAAGGAGATGTGTGCCACCATGCCCAGCTCAGTGATAAATCTTGAGGTGTGTGGATCATGCCTCCCCAAGAACAATGTTTTTGTGGCAATTGGTACTTGTTTGAAGGTAAGTTGTTTTTGTGTACACTGTGCCTGTTGGGTCCCTGCACGCAGGTGCTCACTTTGGGTCCTGGGCAGTCTACCTCCACCCTGGTGGTTCTTTTGCTGATCTCTTGATAAAGGACTGCTTGGGGGCCATGATTTGAGGACTTGCCCCCTGGATGGCTAGTGATTGCCAGGTGCCTCTGGGACAAGACTGGAGTAGGGTGAGCAGCAGCTGGAGGCAGGAGAGCAGCTGGCAGGCATTTTTCTCACTTCCTGGAGTGTCAGGCTGCAGGTCAGGATGGAGAGACAACACTGCCACCTGGAGCGGGCTCTGAGCTCCCTTATACCCACAACTTCCTCCCTTGGCCTGGCCTTCAGTCCCAGGAAGTTGGATTGCTCTGCTGCCCCCAGGTCCCTCTTCCCAGCTCAAACCTACCATGGTTCTTCAGAGAGCAAGTGGAGTCGAGTCTATAACTCTTGGTATTAGGTTCCCTACAGAAAGAGGGACAGATCCATCTCCACATCCCTGCTCTGTCACAGGCCAGGCATCCCTGAGCAAGTGACTTAACCTCTCTGAACCTCAGTTTCCTCTGTGGATGACACAAGAGTCTGTCTTACAGTGTAGCTGGGAAAATGGAACTAAACAATGCACAAAACATGTTTTGGCCAGGAATGGTGGTGCACACCTTTGATCAGGAGGACTTGGGAGGCAGAGGCAGGCAGATCTCTGTGAGTTTGAGGCTAGTTGGAGCTACATAGTGAGATTCTATCTCAAATAAAAACAAAACAGATAAACAAAAAAGTTTTGATACCTGCCTGTGCTAAGAGTTTAATAAATAGCAAGTGTTCATCTTTCGTAGGGTAACAGAGAAGATTGGAGTAACACCCAGTAAATACTCTTTCCTGTGCCTGCTACTCTGCCCCTCCTGGCCTCCTCCCTAGGCCCATCATGGAAGGAATGGTATGTATGTGGGCGGGGGGTCCCATCTTCACGTGGTGGGATAGGGCAGTGCTAGTCCAGCATTAGAGCCTGGGGACCTACCAGAAAGGTTCTAGAAGGATCATGGAGTTAAGGGGACAGAAGGGTGAGGCATGGCCCTATGTAAGTGGGGTTAACCCTCCCCATAACAGGGAAGCACTCTTGGGGATTTAGAAAGTCAGCTCAGGGGCTTTGCAGGATGATCCACTTTCTGGAGCCTCAGACGATCGAGGCTACAGGCCTCTCACCTGTCCTCCTCTCTGTCCCCCACTCCTATCAGGAAGCTCCTAAGACCCCCCGTGGATAGGCTTCCAGTTCCACATGACAGCCAAAGCCAAGGCACAGTCCCTGAACCTGACTGAGCACTTTCTCATTCCGATACCCTCTTCTGACCTCTGAGGGCATTACATCACACAGGTGCACTTACACACATGCAGGCAATACACTCATACACATAAAATAAAAATGAAAGTAATAAAATATTTAAAAATGGGAGCTACATGGGAGTAAGGGCCAGGGAGAGAGAGAGAGGGTGAGGCTGGAAGTGGGTGTGGGTCAATGTAGATCCACCCTGGAGTCTCCAGTGAGACAGCTGGGGGAGCCTGGGCCAGAGGGGCAGCTAGAGCCCAGGAAGAGGGACTGCTGCTGCCTATAGAGGGGTCAGCTGAAGGGATGGGACCCAGAGCCCGAAGGGCAGGTTCAAGTCAGTGCAGAGCCTGGTATTTTATTTTCTTGGCTGTGTGTCCTTCTGTCTTAAAGCAGGTGGATGCATCCTGAGGGGAATGATGGGTGATAAGTTAGCAGGATGGAGGGAGGAGGCAGGGGAAGGATGGGTCCACAGGGAGGTTCTTCTTCACTCTGAGGTAGCCTGACGCCTCATTTGGGGGTGACAATGTGGAGGAGGGAAGTTCTCAGGTGGCCCCAGACAGACCTTGGTGAGACTCTGCAGCAAGTGGAGGCAGGAGAACTTGACCCCACAGGTGTGTATTCTGGGCAGTGCAGGGTTTCCCTGAGCCCTCAAGGTGACAGATACTAGCCCCAGGACTGATGCTCAGCTATGGCTTCTCCCCACAGGGCTCTGCTCTGGACAGAGCCTGAGGGAAGTTCCAAGGACAGAGCAAAGAGGTTGAGTGAGTAGGCTCCTGCTCCACCTGCCCTGTCCCTGCCCCTCCTTCAAGTCCCATTCAGTGTCCCCTCGACCCACTCTTTCTCTACTTCTAGATCTTGTCCAGGGCCAGGCCATGTCCTGTATGTTGACGCTCATTCTAGGCTCACTTTCTGTACAGATGGAAGATTCCATCTGATCAGAAGACATTTATTAGACACAGAGTCAGTCTGTTTATAAACCTGTCTGTATTCTCCTGACATTTGAGTGTGGATGTGTGTTACCCAGAACAGCATGAAAACACCACCCGCCCCTGCAGATAACAACTGCCTGTGTTCTTCACTTGCCTGTGCTCACGTTTATTTTCACTTTATTGTGTGTACTCTGTGCATCACTTCGATGCCAGCCAAGCTTCTCTCAAAGCCTGGCCCTGAGTTCTTTGGCAGGTCAGGCTCTGCCAGAGCTGAGCCCTACGCTGGAGAGAAGAATCACAAAATGGTGAGATGTACTGTGACAGGGTTGGCAGAGCCTAGCAGGGGGGCGGCGGGGGGGGCTCCCCAGTCTGTGACTACCAGCTGCTGGGGCAGACACCAAAGGATTACTCAACTCAAAGCCTTGAAACTGCTGACGATGCCACCAGAGAGGCCACCTTACCACTAATGCAATTATTCCCCTAAGGGACAGGTCAGCAACTTCTTCTGACTCCCCAGAAGCCTGGGATGGGTGGTGTGCTTGGTGCAGGCTGCAGAGCTGACCTCCTTCTTAGGGCCTGGGCTTGTAAATCCCTTGTCCCAGCCTGTCTAGGGAGCTGCATCAATAGCTCCCAGGCCTAAGGCAAGGCCTGCGAAGGTTCTGCCTGAGGGAGGAAGCATGGATCTTTGGGATGATGGCTGCCTGTCAGGTTGGTGGGCTGGCTGCCCAGCGCTCAGTACAGCAGCTGCAGGTTTGGGTTGGGGGTTGAATCCTGTTCACAGCATGGGGTCTGGGAACAGGTCTTCTCCTGGGATTATTTATTTAGACAGGGTCTCATATATTCCAGGTTAACCTTGAACTCACTATGTAGTTGAGGATGACCTTGGACTCTTTTTGTTTTATTTATTTTTATTTAATGTATATGAGTGTTTTGCCTGCATGTATGTGTGTGCAATGCCTGCAGAGGCCAGAAAAGGGCTTTGGATCCCCTGAAACTGGAGTTACAGGTGCTTGTTTGCTACCCTGTAGGTGCTGAGAACTGAATCTAGGTCCTCTGCAAGAGCAGCCAGTGCTCTTAACCACTGAGCCATCTCTCTAGGTCCCCCTCCCACGTTTATTAAACCTTCTCTTTCCTATAAGCCCCTTTCCCACATTTATGACATTTTTGTTGTTGATTCTTTTGTTTGAAATCCACTGAGTTTAACTAGAAACGTCTTGTGACCATGGGTTTGGTGGTGGGCTCCTCAGTGGCCCACACTTGAAGATAATGATGGCCCCTCCCCCAGCACCCATCAGTAGCTACAGTAGCTACAGCTCTGGTACAGTGTACCAGAGGGGGTAGGGCTCTGGAAGCACCTCCCAGATCCGTGATTGACTGTCCTTAGGCCCAGTCTTGTGTAGCTCATGGCAGACAGCCACAGTTGCTATGAGGTCCATCTTGAACTTCTGATCTTCCTGCCCCCACCTTCTGAGTGTTGGGGTTACTGGCATGTCCACCATATCAGGGCTTCATGCATGCTAGGTAAACTTTCTATCAACTGAGCTACATCTCTGACCAGTAATCCCAGGTATCCTCGCTCTCTTTGAAGCAGAGCTAGAGTTAAATGCAGGCACTCAGGAGCCAGAGACCCAGCAATTCCATTTCCCAGACCTAGACAAACTGGAAATCTCCCAAAGATTTAATTCCATGGCTGTTCCTGCAGCAATTTTAGTAAAACACCCACCAACAGGCACTGACTGTACACTGCTCCATTCCATCCCCAGTACAGAGAGTGGAGTTTCTACATCTGAGGTAGAAATGCTCACTGATCTTTCAATTTCAA